TTTTATTTTTTAGACAAAATTTTTAATTTCTATTTTTTTATGATACAGCGTACAAAAATACATACAACCCTAAATTTTCACCCCTCTACGATCAACCCTTATTTTTTATTTGCTAATTAAAAACTTAAAATTTTTTTGCGAGAATTTTGTTTGTTTTTATTTTGTCATGACGTAGAATAAAAAAAATCATATTACTCTGCAATTTTCACCCCTCTACGATCAACCCCTATTTTTTATTTGTTAATTATAAACTTTAATTTTTTTGGCAAGATTTTCATTTTTATTTTTATTTTGTCATGAATTAAAATAAAAAATCTGATGTTACTCTAAATTTTTCATCCCTCTATGATCAACCCCTATTTTTTATTTGTTAATTATAAACTTTTTTTTCGCAAGTTTTTTATTTTATTTTGTCATGACTTAAAATAAAAAAATCATATTACTCTCAATTTTCACTCTTATACGATCTACCCCTTTTTTGTCCATCCGATTATATATTTTTTTCTATGCACAGATCTGCAATAAGGTTGCAAGATGGCAATCAAATATTATAATTGTAGTACGATAAATTCTATATAATTTCAAGTTCCTTTAATTATGATTTTTTTTAAATTGAATTTGATCTCCCGCCCTCGCCGGTCGACTCTTGATCAACTATCAATCGATCAGCTTTCCCCGCCAGGTGTCACCACTCATCCAGCAAACATCACGTAGTAGGGATGAGGACGAAGCCGGTCTCCTGTCTTACTTACTCACTATACATCATAGATTATATACTTAATATATTTGAGAGCTATACAATACTATACATTTTTCAGCCATATTTTTTTGGTTTTATTTGTGTATCAATAGTACGTTCAGTAGGTCTGAGAATCGGCTACTATCTATTTTTCATACCCCTAAGTGAAAAGGGTTGTCCACCCCAAACATTTATTTTTTATTTTAATTTTTTGGATATTTTTTATTTATTTATAATGAGGTATTATGTGGTTAAATGAGTTTTTTTTCTACTGTAGAATTTCCCTAGATATCTTATTTAAGGCAACACAACGTTTGCCGGGTCAGCTAGTTTTTATATATATTTTTATTTTTGGTAGTTAACATAATATTCAATATCGAAGAATAACATCTCAGTTTGTGACCACAAAAACTGTAAAGTATACGTATATGACAATAAAAAACGTGGGATAAAACTGTAAAAGGAGTTTTAATTAATGAAATGAAATTTTATGTACCCTATTCCATTAAAATAATCCAAGCTCACCGCTTGCATGTCAAGAAGTAATAAAGAACTGTACTTTAAATAAATAAATTCTTAAATATATTTGTTTATTTTTAAAAGAAAACATTTCTTAATAATTGGCCGTTGTTGGGATGAAGCAGGAAGAGAAGGAGTAAATTATGATATCTGGCGTCATAGAGTTGAGATGTAAGGTCGTGCTGGGAATTTACGATACCAACTCGACACCCCTACTACATGTAAACTACGACTATAAGATTGTTTATTTACTCCAAAATACACTTCTTCATTGAATTTTCATTTTCTACTGTTGGCATAAAACGATAACTTTAAAACAAGCGTAATGTCCATTTAACTATTAATAAGGTTATGCAGATAAAGCGATTGATAAAAAAAAACATGAAAATTTGTCAATTTGTATTTTTTTTATTAATTTCTATGAATTCATAAAAAATATATTAAAAACAAAACTAAGAAAGAAATTAAATTAAAAGAATCGTGGTACAAAGTGAGTTGAAAAAACGTGAATACAATATAATTCTCAAAATATCTTGTGTTCTTCGATTCTCAAGCCAACGTTAGGGGTCATGGGCAGAAGGCTCCCGCGGTGGGCACTCGATCCTTTATCGATCATGTGCCGTATCATTAGATATCATTGTGGTCTATGATCAATAGTACGCCCGCAACTCGAACTAAGTTCAAAGGCGTAGTAGGGCTGTCAGAATGAATACATAACGTATTTTATTGGCTTGCATTTAATAAATGGCGACATGTTTTAATATTTCACAAAATAGTTTTGTTGGTGCTTTCAAATGACACAAATATGTCGAAAAGATATTTTACCTTTCTCATAAATAAACTTTAACACAACAAAGCAATCGTTTGGACTACAAAAACACGTACACCCAAAATTAATGACAAGAAACAAAAACAAAACAGCGCTTTGATCTGAATACATCTGAATCCGTGAAACTCAAACAAATCGGAACGACAAGCATCTTTATCTAAACGTTCTTTATAATGAAGCAATTAAGACAATGCCTCGCGTACTACAAACCGAATAAAAAGAGTTAAAAACATTAATCTTATTCACATGTTGTTTACTTGGGTCGAACACGAAATGCGTTTTTAATGTGTAAATTTTATTTTAAATCTAAATTTGTATTTTGTTGTTTGATATTGTGTCTTATTTTATCGGTTTTAAGATGTGTCTTTTTTAACTGTTTTTTTTTGAGTTTAAACAAGGAATTATAGTAGTTCGTGTGACAAGCGAAACTTTTTTTTTATTGCTGAGATGGGTGGACGCGCTCACAGCCCACAGCCCACGTGGTTACTGGAGCCCATAGACATCTACAACGTAAATGCGCCACCCACCTTGAGATATAAGTTCTAAGGCCTCAAGTATAGTGTATAGTAACAGTTACAACGGCTGCCTACCCTTCAAACCGAAACGCATTACCGCTTCACGGCAGAAATAGGCAGGGTGGTGGTGACTACCCGTACGGACTCACAAGAGGTCCTACCACCAGTAAAAGAGCCAATCGTAGCTCATTGGTGAACATGCCGTTTTATCACATAATATTTTCAAAACGACATGTATTTTTGTTTTGTAGTAGACTTAAATGGGTATAGAGAGCAAAACTTCTCATAGATATTCGTATTTTTACACGAATAGGTAATCAACGACTCGGTGAAAACATTAACCAGAATCCTCAGTTTGTGCTCTGGACCTACTACATAATATATTTACTGAAAGTAATGTGAGCAAGGAAGTGAGGTATATCATGAATGCTCACATATGCCATGCCATCCGATGCCTAGTACAAATTTACTTTGTTTACATTGTTGACTAGATAAATAACGCACGGCTATCAAGCCGAATCGGCATTTTACAAAAAAAAAAATATATAAATCGTCGACCTAACCTAAGGCAATATTTCTTGAACTAATTGATCTAATGAATTAATTTCACAGTAATCTTATTCGAGAAACGGCACCGATACATATTTATGATTTTGAAAACGAATTATAATTTTAAATTCCGAATTCGAATAGTCTAGGACTAACATGTATCTTCTAAGTAAATGCCCGTCCTCTAAGGTAGATTTTCAAAGATGGCGAAGGTAATCCGAGCGATTTTTAATTTTTTGATGTACACTAAAATGCTTGCAGTAGAAATAAGAGTTTCAATTCAATAATTCAAAATACGAGCTAGTGAAAAGTAATTTGAAATTCAAGAAACTTCTGTGGATGCATTCACCGACTTTCTTTGATGGAAATCGGTAACGTGGATTAACTGTTAAGCGTTTTCATGTGAAAATGAACGCCTATAGCCATTACGAGCTTGACATAGAACAATTTAAAACGAATTTTACGGTCTAATCTGTTTTTACTTTTTATTATTACTTCAATCGAGAAGATGAGTAGTGCTTTTCTAACTCCTGGGATCTTCTTATCGTATGAAAGTCCAAGTCAAACAAACTGTCAGACTTCTATCTGCGTATAAAGGAAACGTAAATGTCATGTTATATTTTTATAGAAAATTAGGCAGTAATTTTTTAATATTAAAATATCTACGAAAAGACCTTACTCTTCTGTGACCACAAAAAATCTAAAGTATACGGAACCTCCGAAATAATAAAACGAAAATAAAAAATTAGCCGTTTTCTATTTATTTTATTCCTAATCAAATTATAAATTAGTAGATGTTATCGGCAACCGAACAGTAGCGAGCTAGCAAGATAAATTTCTGTTTTAGAATTCGATTTGGCTGGTCATTGAGTTATTGACTTGTCGGGTATGCTAATTACTCTAATCTGGTTATTTTAATTGCATCAAGAATATTTAAAATAGTTTCGTTCGGAAAAATGAGATATGTCAAGTTTGTTTCGGAAAAAAAGGATTACTATTGGCTCTAGAAGAACTTTTCAGTGTCCAAAGACCCGTTGATCCGAAGTTTTTGTTTCCTTGAAATAAATTACACTAAGACACTTAATTCAGAACATTTATAAATTTTTTTGTAAACGGGGAGAAGAATGGTATTTTATTGCATGTTTCAATTTAATACCTAAATGTCATTGGTATATTTTAACTCTAAAGAGATCTTACGTAAAGGCATATATATAATCTTAGATCTATGTATTGTGATAACACAAGTAACTTCAGCCTTCGGAAATTGGCCTGCGAACTTTGTGGAGCAGGTGTCCTGCGTATACTCCTTACGTTTGATCCTGCAGATATTTGACGTTGTAACCCTTACGTAAGAGACAAGTAAAACCGTTATCACGCCATTACCGACCGCCGTAAGACCTATTCTGTCACAAGAACAACACTGTCTTGTAACTTCCATCGGGATATGTTACAATTTATTTTGATGTAGCACAAATTAAAGAGCGGAGGGTTAGCGTGGTATGGACAGGTGATGCGTAGAGAGAAGATGCATGTGACTAGGAGATGTATGAAAATGGTGATGCAAGGTAGAGGGGGAAGAGGTCGGCCGAAGAAGACATAGATGGAATGTGTGAATGACGTTATGAAAGAGAGAGGGGTGAGTGTTAAGCCGTTGACAGCTGATAGAGGAGAATGGAAGAGAAAAATTAGCTGTGCCGACCCTACCTAGTGGGATAAGGTAACGAAAAAGAAGAAGTAGCACCATACGATACTGCTTACAGAACTTACTTTCTGTTGGAGGATAATATTATAGTTGATTGTGGTAGAAGGTAATACAAATAGGCAGAATAATGGTAACATGATTCCTCACCTCGAAGGAATTCTAGGCAGGCAATGACGTTCTTGTACAGCAACTCCTCCGCCGCAGCTCCTCGAGCAAGGACTCCACCTGCCCCAGGAACTCCACGCGTAGAGCGTCGTGTTCGTTCGTAATAAATCTGTCGTTCTCGATATCTAAAAACAATTTGATGATATTAGTACTGAACTTACTGTACTTTTTACTGGTGGTAGGACCTCTTGTGAATCCGCACGGGTAGGTACCACCGCCCTGCTTATTTCTGCCGTGGAGCAGTAATGCGTTTCGGTTTGAAGGGTGGGGCAGCCGTTGTAACTATACTTGAGACCTTAGAACTTATATCTCAAGGTGGGTGGCGCATTTACGTTGTGGATGTCTATGGGCTCCAGTAACCACTTAACACCAGGTAGGCTGTGAACTCGTCCACCCATCTAAGCAATAATAAAAGAACACATTTATAAACTTTACTTCTCTTAAACAATGCTCATCAGACTCATAAATATAATTATGATTTTGTTATATATATTTTTTGGGTCAGAAGGAAATCGCTGGACGTCCGCCTAGCTACAAATATTTTGGTTGATAACTGCATTGATTAATATATTTACTATGAGTTAATGAATTTCTGTAAGCCACATTTGAGATGTGGGTTGGTGCTGTATCACCTTTTATGATATTTATGGGAGGAGATGGGAAGGTGTTATTATTTTTCGACTCCGCTGAGTGCGTGGTCATTGGGCCGAGTCTAGGAGAGAGGCTTACGACCATCAGTAGACCTCTGTGGGCTGATAGCGCGACGAGTAAATGAATGGGTTCAATGATAGTAAGGAGTATTGTAAACCTGCGCGGGTATTTACCGTCTTCTTTTGCCGCATATTGGACATGCAATTCGATTCGAATTATAGGACAGTCGGTTCCTTAGTATAATTGATACTTGAACCTCATATTTCAAGGTGCACCCGCCTAGCATCAACGTTACCTTACATTATAAATTTACCTTATAAATATAAAAAGCACATTGAAACAAATAGTTCTTCCCAAGCAAGTTAGAAAGAAAAAGTCAAGCAAGAAAATCAAATCACATCTGGGTTCACGAAACTTAAATACAAGCTGAAAGCTATCTGTTGTTATGAGATATCGGGTCGAAGATTCAATTGCATAGCAAAAATCTCTTACCATTTAAATCTAGTCATGTGGGCTAATAAAATGATCATTCTAATAATTACTAAGGTAGGTACTTTAATTAATTATTCGAGATTTTTATTACTACGTAATTCAAAGCAATGTAAATTGAGTGCAGGCGCGATATTCTCGGTACTATGCGACATGAGACGCCATCCATCAGACTACGAGTAGAAGAATAATTAAGTATATGGTTAAACTAAATATCTATTTTGTGCTTATTAAATAGACATAACTATCATTTTTCGCTTATGTGTGTTTATATTATACGGGAACAATTTCACTCTAATTTTTTTTCGTTTTTACCATCGCACCGCCCGCCACCGGAGTAGAGCTCATCCATATAACCTGGAGCCACTGCGTTCATCCACAGTGCGTTTCCAGAGATCATTTTTGCCACGTACCATCCCGCTGTGGAATGAGCTCCCCTCCCCGGTGTTTCCCGAGCGCTATGACATGTCTTTCTTCAAACGAGGCTTGTGGAGAGTATTAAGCGGTAGGCAGGGGCTTGGCTCTGCCCCTGGCATTGCTGACGTCCATGAGCGACGGTAACCACTTACCATCAGGTGGGCCGATGCTCATCTGCCTGCTCGGGCAATAAAAAAAAACAAAATGTGTGCAATTCACACGTGGTAAAAGTGAAACCTTCCAAAATTAAAATACAACTATCCTAAACGTCTTAAGTATATGTAAAATTTTGTCATTAGTAAATAATTGTAAGGTAGCGCCCTCTGTGAATTGATATTTTAATTTCACGTATAATCCTAAATTAAAATTCACTACAAGAGCTTTCATACACACGTTAGTATTAAAAATCTCACAGATGGCGCTGTATTAAATAGTATGTATATTTCTGTCTCATTCTTTGCTNAATTCACTACAAGAGCTTTCATACACACGTTAGTATTAAAAATCTCACAGATGGCGCTGTATTAAATAGTATGTATATTTCTGTCTCATTCTTTGCTGGCTTCATCCTACACATTTTTGTATTTGTGTCTCTTACCTGTCGTTTTTTCCGTTGCATCCGGTTTGAAATCACAACGATTCTAAAGAAGTTTTCACTTCAAAAAAACTTTTCGGTCTTGCGACGATTACGAGTGTGACCGATAAACAAAATTGAAATGTTACGCAACAACGACCCTGGATGCGAATAATCGTTCGGATCTGTTTGATACTCAGACGTAGCGAAAACCACTAATATCGCGTTTCCTTTGTTAATCGAGTTTTAATTGAAACCCATTAACGTGGATACCGAAATATAATTTAGTTAATGAAAAACCACTTGCCAAACGTTCAGCGCTCTATTGGCATTGAAATTATTACAATTAGATGTATCGATTGATATAAACGATTGATCGATCATTGACGTTATTCGAAATATTCCACGTCCCCCGATTGCGTAATGCGAACGTCCCAAATATTTCGTTTCAACCAACTGTGCAATCAGTTATATGTAATACCGAGTACATTAATTCTCTGTTGATTTACAATACAATTAATTAAATTAAATGTTATCGATTTTATTCGAAACTTTCGAATTTAAGAAATATAATTTGTAGATGTCTATGGTTTTTTTCAGAACATCAGTAGGTTATACTTGATACCATCCCAGTTTGGGCTTCCAATAAGAACTTCTAATATGTTAAATACACGAAACGCCTAAAGAAAAATCAGCTAAACAGATTATTGCATTAAAATAATTCAAAATTGATATCGAAGCTAAATAAAGGTTTCAATACAATCGCATCTTGTTCTTCATCAATATTTACAAAGAAACAGTTTAAATTAGTTTTGGCATTGTGTTCTGTTCAACTATTAATGTAAAAGTTGTTAGGATTATAATCTTGTTTAGTGACGACTTTGGTTGTTCATGATAATGCGTTTTTTCCGGAAGGTTTTTTTTTTATTCTCTTCCATTTGCCTTCCGCCCAAAATCATACTAAATATAATTTAAATGTTTCTTTTTTTTTATTCTCTTCCATTTGTCTTCCACCCGAAATCATACTACAATAAATATAATTTAAATGCTTTTTTTTTAATTCTCTTCCATTTGTCTTCCGCCCAAAAATCATTTATTAATATCATATTATATAAATATAATTTAAATACATACCGGTCGTCCGATTTCGGTGCTTGTCGATTGTGCGTTCATTTGTGAGTTTCTTAAACATACTGAAAATGTTCTGTAACAAAAGGAAAATGAAACATTAAATTCCGAAGTCTAAAATTATGTTTGCTTAAATATTATTGCTTATTCATTAAGAAGCTATTAAAGAACAATGAAGTCGTTTTCTTATAAACGTTAATTGATATCCCCTTCTTTTTTTTTGGATATGTACCGGTGAGGTCACTCCTGTCGTCTCATAGAAACAACGTCATGACTTGTGCCATCCTCCTTGAGACACGAGTTCCAGGTCTCAAATATTCTTGTATCATTTGTATCGACGATTCTGAACACTAATTTTAGGACATACCCGTCGAGATTTGAGCATTCCATCTCCACTACTTAAGACAACTACTAGGGTGTTGGGAATTACGCAATTTATTATAAATACAGGTCATGATCCTATGGCTATGACAGATAGATGACATGAAATTAATATGTATCATTAGCTAGCCCGGCAAACGTTGTTTTGGCATATAAATTATTTCTAGGAAAGATAAATAACCTAGATACCGACCGCGGTGCTATCTGCCGGAATGATTTTTAAATCTAAACCATTTTCAAATCAACCTGAAGGTAGGTACACAGAAAATTTCATTAAAATCGGTTCAGCCGTTTAGGTGGAGTTCAGTAACAAGCACACGCACAGAAGAAATATATACATATATTAAGACTAGCTGACCCGGCAGACTTCGTAGTGCCTCAATCGATAAACAAAAGACCAAAACTTCTGTATAAAATAAAATTAAAACAAACAAAACGAATTCGTCCGATGGGGGACACATCAAGGGAAAAACAAAATTGTTATTTTTAATAATTTTTTTATTGCCCCTGTAGTCAGACGAGCATACGGCCTACTTGATGGCAAGTGCAGCAATGCCAGGGGCAGAGCCAAGTCGCTGGCTACTGCTTACTACTCTCCACAAGCCTCTTTTGAAGACGGACATGTCATAGCGCTCGGGAAACACCGTGGAGGGGAGCTCATTCCATAGCCGGATGGTACGTAGCAAAAAAGACCTCTGGAAATACACTCTCGATGAACGCAGCAGTTCCAGATAATATGGATGAACTCTGCTCCGATGGCGGGAGATGCGATGATAAAAAGAAGATGATGGGATCATCTCAAGCAATTTCTCAGAGCACTCCCCTTGGAATATACGGTACAAAATACAGAGGGAACCGAAGTCCCTCCGCAGACCCAGAGGTTCCAAACGATTCCAATTCCGACCATTTTCATAGTTATCATCTATCTTTTAAATCTTCTCTGGACTTCCACAAATAATTCAACACCAAAATTATCCATATCGGTCCAGCCGTTCTCGAGTTTTAGCGAGACTAACAACAGCAATTCATTTTTGTATATTAGCGAAATAAGTTCAGTTTCGGACACTTTTATCTTCGGTATTAATAATATCCACATATTAATGTCTTCATTTTCATCATCGTTGCGTAATAACGCAAAAATATTCGTATATGCCTCAATATTCAAACCCTAGGCATTAACATACCAGTATTCCACCCATTTATTAATGTTAGTCATGTGTGCTAAGTCAATTATGTTATAAAACTTCCTTATTGTTTTAATTAAATTAAACTTCTACGTATTAGCAAATATAAAAGCCAATTCATACTAAACAAGGACTAATTTATTAAATTGGCTAGAATATAAACATCCTGGTAACCGAAACATAAACATCCCTTATATTTTAATGTGACACCATTTAAATAGTATGTCGACTGTTTTGTACCGTATGAGAGGTACGTGCTTCTAGAATTAAACATTGGTCAGGATGCTTATATGTATACATATATGTACAATTATAACAGCTTATGTTACAAGCCAGATTTTTTACTTGTTGTTCTTTATTGTTTTCCCTTTTTTTTTAGCTTGTAATGTGTATTGTATTCCTTATAAATAAATAAATAAAATTTGGTGTTGGTAAAAACATATTAGATAATAAGACGTTCCAGAATTCCTCAAGCTATTCCTTTACTTAAAATAAAACTAATAAAATAAAATAAGCGTAGCTATAGAAGCTATAATAAAAAATAAAAAAAACTTCTCTTTTCGTGTAGAGATATAATTGAAAATGTTCTTCAATTTTCGTCTAGAAGTAATTAAACTTACTTTACGACTAACTCAGTCTTCCGTGACTATGAAAACTATAGAGTATTCAAAACGTAAGTAATATAATGACATGAAAATGCTAGATTTAGCCGTTTTAATAAAAAAATAAAAATATCCAAAGAAACCAGTGCGGAACATGTAGTATTTTTTAAGCCATATAATATAGTCGGAAGTTATGACGCAGTACCATTCATTGTACGATGCGATTAAGGTTCACATAAATAATTATCAACCACAAAATAGTCGAGAATTAACCAGTAATATAAAGAAAAAGTTAACAATAAGTCGTGCGGTATCATTTTCAATGTGTTGGCTAATTGCTTAATGACATCGTTCGTTAATAAACAATACGCTGGGCCAATAATAAACAGGAGTGTTAAAATGATTATAATTTCTATCACAATCGGCGCTTGTTCTTTATACCGCCGATAGAATCCGTTGTGAATACAAAAGCAGCGATATTATCGGACGTACCCGTTGTAAGGTAGCGCAGAGCTAGGAAGGAGTAAGGAGGGCATTCGTACTGAGATTTCCTTAAATATTATCACATTAATGTATTTGTATAGTGCATTATAATATGAAAATCGAATATCAAATGCCGCAGTTATTTAAAAAAATGAAAATAAGTAAAACAACAAAATGAAAATAATCAAGCATATAGAAGTTATATATATTTTATTGCTTAGATGGGTGGACGAGCTCACAGCCCACCTAGTGTTAAGTGGTAACTGAAGCCCATAGACATCTACAACGCAAATGCACCCACCTTGAGATATAAGTTCTAAGTTCTCAGTATAGTTACATGAAAGCACGAGCTAACGAGTGCGTTATATGTCCGTTTAAATATATGCATATATAGATAATAAGCAACCAGGCAAAAAGGAAACCATCAAATGAATCGTTCATTACATCAATGTTTGCCCGATGTGGGATTCGAACCCACGACCCTCGGCGCAACAGCCAGGACTGCTAACTACTGCGCCACCGACTCGCTCAAAAATGTATTTATTATTTTCAGGTGAGTATTTGATCGATAACACCTTATTTAATAATCAGTTGCATCTTCGATTACGATTGACCACAAGTGCTAAAAAAAAAACATACGAACTAAAATCTCTTCAAAGAACACTTCGCGAAACCTTCCCTAGATGTCGGCAATGAAAAATCGAATCGTGCTTTTAAACAACACTAGAGGTCCCGTAGTAGTCGAAATTCGACTATAATTAATTGGAATTGTAAGTTTGTACAGTATTATGATTGTATTTTATACTTCTATAATCACAAATTTCGCCAAGGCTACACTATAAAAAAATATTAATAAAGACAAACAATATTTAATCTATTCTCAATTTGACCACAGCCGTCAAGAACAAAAGTTTGACAAATAAATAGTATGCATGCGTGTGTGCGTCAAATACATGGTATGTAGGGTGTGTAATGTTTTCTTTATCGATTTAATGCATCTTTTATGCATTATTTTAAAAAAATATTAGCATTTTGCACTTCTTCTCTATATTCTCTATAAGTGTGGAAAATTTCATACTCCTCCGTCCGCGCAATTTTCGTAAAAAGGGATACAAAGTTTTTGCTTCACGTATTTAATATATAGATAACGCGGCTGTTACTTTTAGTTGTTTTAACGTCTTATCTGCATCGTATTTGAATTTGAAACGGATTTCTCTTCCGCGTCGCCGATTCGTTTCCGAGATAAGATAAAAGGATTTACGTATAATAAAATATCGGTAACACAGTGCACAAAGAGAGCACTTGTCCATTAAAATTTATGGCTTTCTCGATCTTTATGGATACGAGTTTGCACGACCGTCCGCTGCTTTCCTTGCTAAATGAATAATTTAATAATTAATTTCCATATATTACGTACGTTTATGTATTAAAAATAGTGAAGAAGTGCTGTTTTGTTGTATTTTAAGATTTTTCGTAATAGTAGACTATGGACATATTATATAATTCAATTATCTAAAAATTTCAAAATTATAGATATTTTTGGTAATAAATTATTTCTAAAAAAATTTATATGAACACATATATTATGAACTAAACTCATTTTAGTTTAATAAAAAAATAATTGCAATTTTTCACTAATCTACCTATATATATATAAAAATGAATTGCTGTTCGTTAATCTCGCTAAAACTCGAGAACGGCTGGACCGATTTGGCTAATTTTGGTCTTGAATTATTTGTGGAAGTCCAGAGAAGGTTTAAAAGGTAGATAAATATGAAAATGCTCGGGATTCAATAAGAATAACAATTTTGTTTTTCCTTTGATGTGTCCCCCGTTGGACGGATTCCTTTTGTTTGTTTTAAGTTTATTTTATACAAAAGTTTATGTCTTTTGTTCATCGATTAAGGCACTACGAAGTCTGCCGGGTCAGCTAGTACTTAATAGATCAAGCGAATTCCATAGGCAATTTCAGATGCGTCTTCTGTTATAATAAGTTTCAAGTATTAAAAACGAAATTTTAGGTACCTACTCGTCATTTCTTAAAACAATACCACGCAAATCTTTATAGTAAAATAAATAAATAATAATATTATAAATAGGAAAGATTTGTTTGTTTGTTTGTTTCGAATAGGCTCCGAAACTACTGGACCGATTTGAAAAATTCTTTTTCCATTAGAAGCCGACATTGTCGTCCCTGATGAACATAGGCTACTTTTTTTATTTTATTTTTATTTTATTTTTTTGGTTTCATGTGTGTTTTAATGTTTCCGAAGCGAAGCGAGGGCGGGTCGCTAGTAGTAAAATATGTAGAATATTCATGATGCGAACGAGATTTATCAAGTCGTTTAAGCGGAGTCGTGGCCATTCGTGGTATACTGGTGAAACGAGAGCGGTGTTAACGATTTTAGTATAATAATATAAACTGG